AACCTGGAGGTCTGTATTTGAAAGACTGTATGCCTCTGATGCAACAAAGAAAAGTCAGACATGTATTTTGCGGACAGAACATCACTCAGTAACTTCACCCCCTATATAATCAGATCTGCCATTATTATTTATGCCGGGACTTCTCACTTGGTTTGCTGCTGAGCAGTCGACAAACCACCTTTGCCAACAGTAAGATATAAGTTTCCCAGAGATGCCCTAGGTGCAATACTGCAGCTGCCTGAAAGGCAAAGGTAGTAATTCACAAAATGCTTCCTGTTCTCATGCATAAAAAGATACTTGACCCAATTTTTCATGAGTTGTTGAATTCATCCAATCTACTCAGTTCTGTGAAGTTCAGTAGAATAAATTTTGGAGTAAAGGACAACAGTTCTGATAGCCACATTGTAAGTAAAGTATGTCAGAATCTGTGCAAGCTCTATTTATAAGGGTTTCTATCTGACAGTATGAAAAAGACTGGAACTCAATAAAAATAGGTTACAGTTACTTTTGCAAGACACACACCTCCCTTTGCTCAGGCTTACTCTCCCACCAGCCAGACCATATTATGAAATAACAAATACATTTGCTTCAGGTCATGGTGTACTGAGTCTCATGAAAGAGATTTAACGGGAGATATTTTCTTTTAAAGTGAAGAACTGCAAACCCATGGTCTATTAGGGCTAGCTCCGAAAGAGCAGGCTGAGGATGGGTATTTCTGAGTTAGAAGCAGTTTGTAGCAGCTCATTAGAAGAACACAGACACTAGTTACATTTGAAGTTCTGCTCTAGCACTGCTTAAAAACAAACAAAAAAGTCAAAAAGTTGTACCAGAATGGGAGGTGTGCCCAACATAAGCATAAGGTTTCTGTATCTAAATGCACTGTATACATAGAAAAGATTCTCAGTGACTAAATGAAGCCAGTATAAAAAAAAACCCCAAACAAACAAACAAAAACCAAACACCAAAAAACCAGACACAGACTAGGTTTCTGTGGAACTAATACTATAAATCCTGAGCACCCTTTTGAAGTAGGATAACTTGGCAATACTTCAAGTAGCACTTTTAGGTTTTTAAACGACATTTGGGATGACAGAAAGAGGCACGAGGAGATCCCCTTGTTCTTTTGTTTGTTTCTTCTTTCTGACATTTTATACCATAAATCAAATGGTTTAAGTTTTAAAATTTTAAGTTTGATTTATTTTTTTTCAAGATCAAAACTAAGGATAGAAAAAGAGAAGGGAGCATGTCTGCAGCCTTCTTTGTCTTTATGCACCTGGAGCTTAACAGACGTCAACTAATATTGCTATACAAGCACACAACAGTCAAAACAAAACAAACACACCTACAGATACATGTAGGGATATGCAATACTCATACATATCAGAACTGCTTCTGCACTGTCTGAACTTGTTGATACAAAATTGTGGGGGAGGAAAGAAAAAACAACCACAAATGCTAAAACATTTTGCTTTCAGGAACCTCATTAAATTTCATTCCCACAATTACTTCAGTACATGGGAACTGGTGCTGCTGCAAGCTGATTTAGTGTCACAGATTGCAGAGGCCATAAGCTACCTAGTGCCATCAGAGATTCTTACACTTCTGTATTTTTTTTTTTTTTTTTGCTTTATACCATATCTTTTTATCATATCTGTTGCACCATAACTGGAGCTTTTCAGAAGCTTCACTGCACTATCAGCTAGAGTCTAAGGATTCCTTTCGAATGTACCTATTCAAACTAAGCTTTAAAAGAAAAATATTCCTTCCAGAATCATCTCTTCAGAAAAAGCTGATACTATCAAATTGAAATGTTTTATAGATTCAGGAATAATATTCTATTGCTGAAATGAAATCAAGATTATTGTAAAGGTTTTTTGCTTGATGCATTAAGGTTTAAGTGTCTTCCATTTCAGCAGCAGCATCTATACTTCAGGCTATTGTGGCTAAACTTTTGTTTCCTATTAGTCCAGAGCACATGTTAGTGTGAAGTCCATGAACAGCATTTGAAACTTTTGTAGTTCTCTGTCTCCACAACCAAACTTTACAAAAGGAATGTTATTTTGCACAGGAAACTATCAAAATACCCTGTGCACTATGCATACCAATACAAATAGGATATTACACTTAAAATTTTACTAGAAGACATTGTTCTGTTCAAAAGAGCTGAAACAGTGAAAGTTCTTCATGTCTTCTGGACATAAAAAGGCACAAAACCAGAATGGACATTGTGAAACTTAATGAGGTGACTGAATGTAACTGGCAAATGAAGTCGCTAAGACACTGGCCATCATATTTGAAAAATCATGGCAGTCAGGTGAAGTTCCTGATCACTGGAAAAAGGGAAATATAACCCCCATTTTCAAGAAGGGGAAAATGGATGACCCGGGCAATTACAGACCAGTCAGTCTCACCTCTGTGCCTGGCAAAATCTTGGAGCAGATTCTCCTGGAAGGCATGCTAAGGCACATGAAAGTCAACAAGGTGCTTGGTGACAGCCAGCATGGCTTCACTAAGGGGAAATCCTGCCTGACCAATTTGGTGGCCTTCTATGATGGGGCTACAGAACTGATGGACAAGGGTAGAGCAGTTGATGTCATCTACCTGGACTTGTGTAAAGCGTTCGACACTGTCCCATATGACATCCTTGTCTCTAGATTGGAGAGACATCAATTTGATGGATGGACCACTCGGTGGATAAAGAATTGGCTGGATGGCCGCACACAAAGAGTTGTGGTCAATGGCTCAATGTCCGGCTGGAGACCAGTAACGAGTGGTGTACCTCAGGGATCGGTGTTGGGACCGGTTTTGTTTAACATCTTTGTCGCTGGCATGGACAGTGGGATTGAGTGCGCCCTTAGTAAATTTGCCAATGACACCGAGCTGTGTGGTTCGGTTGATACACTGGAGGGAAGGAATGCCATCCAGAGGGATCTCGACACGCTTGTGAGGTGGGCTGATGCCAACCTCATGAAGTTTAACCATGCCAAGTGCAAGGTCCTACAGCTGGGTTGTAGCAATCCCAGGCACAGCTACAGGTTGGGCAGAGAAGAGATTCAGAGCAGCCCTGCGGAGAAGGACTTGGGGGCTGGTCGATGAGAACATGAACATGAGCCAGGCTCAGTGTGCGCTTGCAGTCCAGAAAGCCAACCATATCCTGGGCTGCATCAAAAGGAGCGTGACCAGGAGGTCGAAGGAGGTGATCCTGCCCCTCTACTCTGATCTCGTGAGACCTCACTTGAAGTATTGTGTGCAGTTCTGGTGTCCTCAACATAAAAAGGACACGGATCTGTTGGAACAAGTCCAGAGGAGGGCCACAAGGATGATCAGGGGACTGGAGCACCTCCCATATGGAGATAGGCTGAGAAAGTTGGGGCTGTTCAGCCTGGAGAAGAGAAGGCTGCGTGGAGACCTCATAGCAGCCTTCCCGTATCTGAAGGGGGCCTATAGGAATGCTAGGGATGGATTCTTCATTAGGGACTGTAGTGACAGGACAAGGGGTAATGGGTTAAAACTTAAACAGGGGATGTTTCGATTGGATATAAGGAGGAAATTCTTTCCTGTTAGGGTGGTGAGGCACTGGAATAGGTTGCCCAAGGAGACTGTGAATGCTCCATCCCTGGCAGTGTTCAAGGCCAGGTTGGACGAGGCCTTGGGTGATATGGTTTAGAGTGAGGTGTCCGTGCCCATGACAGGGGGGTTGGAACTTGATGATCTTAAGGTCCTTTCCAACCCTATCTATTCTATGATTCTATGACATGTTTCTGTGATAGTGGATATCTTACCTTGCTAAGAGACTATACTTTTTTCTTGCGGGGGAGGGTAGGGTGTTGGTGTGGAGAAGCATCTTTTATAAGTGATAACATATAAAAATCATATCATTATTCATGTAGGATTTTAAATCAAATAAAATGTTATTGAGAAAAAAAAATTCAAAATGCTGAGACACTGGTATTAATAATTTTAGGACAACTTTCTCTTATACATGTGAAAACACTAACATGATTACTTCAGAATATAAAACACAATATGCCTGATCATGGAGGTCATATATATATATCTCCAAATAATAGTGACAATAATGATAATGATAGTAGTAACAATAATAAATATTACAGAGAGAATGCTACTGAAAACCCAAACAAAACCAGAAAGTCAATAGCTGCAAGTCTTGAGCCAAAATGGGATGCTGCTACAATTATTTTTTTCAGTCCTGTTCACAATTTAGACAGTGTTTTAACTATAGACATCACTGCTCTCTTTAACAAGTAGTAAGTGCCAAGGACTTAAGATAAAGATACAAACTAATTGCTTGAATTGTATTAAAATTGTATTAAAAAGCCAATTTTTTGTTGCATGCTGAAAGCCAAATCATGTTAAACTTTGTAAATTACAATCCAATTATATATACTATTCAGCCTCATCTATCATACTCAGACCTTTGCTAAAGGAAACAGCACAGAACAAACAAATCCAACATGCTACAGCAGTGCTTTACTGCAACTGGGAATGAAAATATTAAGCCAAGAAGCCAGCGGAGACCAAGAAGTAATTGAGCATAGTCCCTGCATCATGCATACCCATTCATTTGTTGACACGCTGTGCACATTGATTCTCCTCACTGCTGTTAGTACAAAGATATAGTTCCAAAAGTACCGTTTCATATAAAGTATATGTTGCTGTAGAAGGCATTAGAAGTGGCTGAGGGCAAAGATTTTCACAGAAGTACTTGGCAACCAACTCCGTTAAAGTGTCTGGGAATTTAAATATGTATCTTTCAGTCAGATGGTCTCTGAACTCCAGTAAAGTGTTGTTTACTACAACACTGTGGGAGAACTTAGTATCCAAAACAGCCAGGAAGAAAGAGGCTCCTACAAGTGGCCTATAGCAAAAACGCAATGTAAACCCTCACGCCCTATCCTCTGTCAACACAGGACACTTAACTCAGGAGAATATGAGGGTGACATCCTGTGTAGAGTCCAGTGCACACCTGATGAACACATTACATGTTCCTACAACTTTCCTTTCCAAGAAAGGACAGGATCCACACTTTTAAAGAAGTGCAGAGGAAAAGAGCAGTAATAGTGCTTACTTGCTCCATAACTAGTCATGGTTAAGGCATTCCACATGGGAGAAAGCAGAAATCCTCTCCTTTTCCCACAGTGATGCCCCTGGGTGTAACATAACAGCAGGATCAGATGCACCTTAACCTAGATAAAGTCAGAAAGTAAGAATAAAATAAGATTGCATAAACACTGTCCAATCTGTAAGCAGCAAAGACCTTTCTACACCAGCCTCTGCTGGCTGCATTTTCTGCATTTTTACTCTAATTAACCATAATAAATCACAGTTATACTGTAGGCAACTTAGGCTATATAAATACAGCCTGAAAACATGAAAAGCAAACAGCTAGAGAGGATCCCATGCTATCTGTTTTCTCAGAGTTTAAGACAAAATATTCACTGACGACAGTATTTCGAACGTACTTGTAAAACAGAAGTGGCTCCAGTTCAGGGCAATATGCAGACTTGGTGCTCCCCCTGTCTAGCTTAGGTAGAAAGTGGAGTCTCATCTCTGCAGCAAGCTCATCCTCCAAGTTCCTGATATGCGTTATCTTGGAAAATAAAATATCTCAGCTGACTGAATTCTGACTAGACTCTTCTCTTATCAGTGTCGGGAGCCTTTCTGGATATGTCAGACTCACTAAGCCTATGATGTAGTCTAAAAGATAAAAAGAATCAGTCAGTAAAACTAGCTGACACCTATCAGCACTAACTGTAGCTTCCAAAGAAAGGCATGTCCAACTTTGACTCGGTCTTACATGTTGTATCCTTGACCTACAAAAAGAGTTTGGCTATTTGTAAATCCTGAAATAATATTAACAGCAAAGCAAATACCAGCCTGACTGGTGTTTATGCTTTATTAATTCTGTATATACTAGCCATGTATGTGGTACATCACACACTTAAAAGTAAAAATATGCCTGAATACTTCCAACATTTCCAAAGTCAATTGAGGAAGCTGGATAAAGAGACGAAACTGTCACTGAAAAAATTACCTTTGTTTTCCACTTCTACATAGTAGTAAAAAAAATGAGGTTTTCAAGTTTAAAAATACATTATGCTTTGCCTTCTAAGATAAAAATACAAATACATACATTAGGCCTGGATTAATACTTCATGCAAAGCAGACTAGTTTAATATTTTGTAATTTCAAAGTAGCTTTTGCATCTGTTTTCTGTTTTCTTTCCATAAACTTTCTCCTTTCCTTTGACGCCTTTACATCACAAACTCGGTCAAGAAAAATATATCATTTTCATGTGTTGCAAAAGAAAAAAGGTCAGGAAAGCAATTACATAAGTAACAAAAATAAAGGCAAATTTTGGTAAAAATGAAAAACAGGAACACTGTAGGTTTTTTACTTAACTGTTCAATACATGTGTTAGCAGAAAAATAAGGGCAACTTCAAACACTGAGTGCTTACCAAGTTTGTAAATACACAAAAGAGCAGTAAAGCATAAAACCTTTTAAAGATAATGGACTAAGAACAATATGGACTAAAGCCCAATCTAAATTAAACATCTAACTTTTATTTCATCACTCCCTCAGAGCTGTTCTGAACTTAGTTTTACTTAAAGCATGAAAGAAAATATTGGAGGTATTTCTCATGTGCTTCAGTTAGACACTAGGATCTCATATCTGAAAAATGTTTAGAAATACAGCAAGCAGTTACTCAAGACAGTGAACTAATCAAGTATATAACTATTATATGGAGGCATAAATTCATGTTTACATTAATTATTTACATGAGAAATAAGACTTTATTAGGACTCTTCATATACACATAAATATTTGCAGAACTGGGAAAAAAATCAAATGCAGGGAAAAAATAATGTTTCTTACAGTAAGAAAAAAGTTTCAAATAGGTTGTGATGACATCTAAGAAATTAATTATATTTCTAAATTTTGGGGGGGGATGGGAGTTGGGAAAGTGAAGTATATAATGATTTTATATGGACAAAACAAACCTTTATACCAGAACAAAGATCTGGACTTTGGGCTCATCACAGCGAAGATTACTATCTTTAGAGCTAGCCTTTTGCTATATAGCAAAGGATTATATTTACCAAGATACAAGGACTGTAAATTCAGGTTACCTAAAGTAGAACCTGAAGCATACAATGTACCCACTGTGTCTGCTGGGAATGAAGTCATTAAGATTTTACAGCTTTTGAGAACTATAAACTTTATCTCCTGTACATTGTGTATGCAGTAAACCATGTGCTAGATAGAAGTCGCTGAATTTAGCTCTGCAAAGAAAGAGAAGCTATCATCAACAAAGAGGATACATGAATGGCTTTGCATACCCATGCATATCTCCAACTACCACCTACAGTAATGTATGAATACAGGCACAAGAGGAAGTTTGATAACTCTGTATAGCAGAAGCCATCTGGATCTGTCAATAAAAAAAAACAAATAAAAAAATCATAATTTCTGAGACATTAGTATTACCAAAAATTGAGGTGAGAGTTCAGAATAATGAACAATTGCTATTTCCTTACAACAAAAAAACAGGGTTCTTCATTCCTCTTGCTCTCCCATCCAACCAAAGCATATTTAAAAGTGTTTCTTCCCCCTTCATTATAAACTTTCCAATCCCTCCCCCAGATTTACGAGAACAAGAGCCTCAGGGCATTTTCTTTTATGGTACTATCTAACTTGCTTCTTGCTTGTGTATGTCATTGTACTCATTTGTTTTGGAAAGAACTATGGCAGAACATATGATGCAATTATCCTGATGCAAATACTGCACAAATATTACTACTATATAGCTCCATCTAAGATAAAAATAAGTAGCTGTAGCACTATATAAATTCTTGCCTTTGTCATTTTTTTCCATTTCTGCAGAAGATGCCAGTTGTCTGTGTGATAGAAAAAGCCATTTTTCGTGCTTTTGTCAGTCTGAGTACTCTTTGCTAGTATTGAGCTCCATTTCTCAGCCTTTTGTTTCCAGTTTTCCATAAACTCTCCAAGTTCCAATTCCAGCTCCATCTTGTATACAGCATTGCTAACTTTTCCTTAAAGCAGGAGAGCATTCAATTTCTGCAATGGACTAAGCCTTTTCAATCACACCTGGCTTCCTCTTAGGTGGTCACAGCTTTTACCAATTTTGGTATCCTGAGTTTATGTTGAGCTCCAGGCACACTTAGTCACACTTCTGTTAAGCAACCCAAACAATACTGCTGATGTGGTTTTGGTGGCTTCAAACTATTAGCAGATGGCACAGCAGGCAGCTTTGAGTGATTCATGAAATCCAGAAAGGATAACAATCTACTGGAAGTGTCTCATCCCACTTCAAAGCACTGAACCAAATTTCCAGCTGCACAGAATTTGGATACTACTGCATCATTTCCAGGGAAAACATTTATTCTTTTTCCTCCCTCTCCTTTCCCTCACACAAACACTGTTTGGGGCCAGGCCTCCAAAGCTAACCATAGATTATAGCATCCTATACTGAACAAACGAAATAGTATTTCTGAAACAGCCAAACTTTATCTCCTGTCTTTGACTTTATTTTACTGTAAAATTTCATAAAAATATTTTTTAAACAAAATACAAAATATCATTGGCATTTTATATCCCATTTGGTACCTGACAAAATAATAAATTAACACATGGAGTTAGACTTTCCTACATACGGAAGGGGTTTATGCATGTAAAGGTGATACACAAAGAAGGTAGCACTAGCAGGATATTATTAGAAGTTTAAATTTAATATTTTGTCACTGGGACAGTTCTGCTATAAAAGTTACTGAGGATTGCTTTCACAGTAAGGATATGTTAACTACACCTTAGGATTGCCAGGTAGGAGAAAGGCAGAAGCTAGAAAAAGCAACATCTGAAGTGCAGTGTGAGCACTGAACAGTCTCTTTAGCATCACTGAGTCTGATTGAGTTGGAGTATGAGAAGTACAGCACTAAGTGAAGGGAGTAGAGGAAAATCAAAATCTAGAAGCACATTAAGCTGCAGAGAACCAGAATGACTGATTGAGATGAAAAATAGCTAACAGACAAAATACTAAGTGCAGTGCAGTGCTTTCAGAAAGCAGTGCAATTATGCATATAAACCCCATACATAACCTGAGGATTCTTTGAGAACTTATTTGATGAGCACAGATTTATTTATTTAAATTTGATTAAAAAGAAACACCAAGTCCTGGACACAGCTGTGATTTTGATTGTATTCAATATATTTTAGTTTTACCTAGGTCAAGGCAGTAGGCTGTTACAGCCTTGTAGCCTGATCAATGCATGGTACAAAGCAGTACACAGACAGGGAGCACAGAGGGCAGACTGTTCTTACCTGAGAGGATAAGCTGGGCTAACAGGGAGGCAGGCAGGACAGTGTCCCCTCAAACAGCAGTGCAGACCCACCATACCTGACAAAGGTGAGCAGAGCAGATCCAGTGACAGGAGCCAGGCTCAGACTGCAGGATATGATGAAGGTCCAAGGTTAAGCCAAGAAGCTGAACCAGCAGGTAGGGGCTCACAATCAGATGTGCAGACAGCAACCAGGATCAGGCACAAGCAGTGATCACCAAGAAAGCCTGCAGCATTGAGACAGGTCTGAAGTCAATCCAGAAAGTAAAGCCTGTGGGTCAGAGCTAGGGTCTGGACTAATGGGGTACACAGCCAGGCATGGGCATGGCTGCAATACAGGGATCTTAACTGTAGCAACAGGAGAGCAAGAAGAGAGATTTCACAAGGTGGGACTTTTTGAGTCCAAACTGCCAGAGGCTTTATTGTGTATCCTGCATAAACTGAAACCGAAAGAGGTTCAGGAATCTTCATAAATTTAAGCCTACTGTTAAAACAGAGATACGGGGAAAAAGTGGGATGAAGAATGAAAGTTTCCTTTAGGCATTGAACATAGATACAGCATTTTCCCCTCTTCATTTGTCACATTATTTTCCATGTCTGTTGTGCAACAACAAGTCAAATGCATTAATTTAAATGTATATAGTGAAATGATCTCAAAGTGAAAATATATCCTTCTTAAAACATAAAGCAATGACTATAACTTTAAACTCAAACTATTCGTTTAATTTTTTTCTCTTCAGTTGTAAGATTCAATTTTCAAATAACTTTGGCTACAGAGTTTGCATAACACGTTTCTGATCCAGAATGCTTCCTATAATGAAAAAATTTGAGGAGAAAAGAGTGTCACACTACAAGAAATTTGAAATTCAGAAATGTTTCTTCTGCTCTCAATGACTTGCTTCAGTACTTTGCCTTGCTTTAATTGATCAAGCTTTTCTGGTATCTGAACTATTAAACATTCCTTATGACCAGGAATTTATAATTAAATTCTTATGGGAAATTTCATGAACAACTGAAATACCTTCAGTTAAGCAACTACTGAACAGACTCCCCAGGCAGAACCAAATCTGTTGGCTATTTTTACTGGACATCTCCATGCATTTTACAATGTCAGGAAGATCATTTTATGTTTAATCAATGATTTATTCTGAGTCAAATAAGTGAATCACATTTAGTGGGTCATGATTCACATACCACAGCATTATCTATCGTTACTTCCTCAGGCTAAATTTCTTGCTGCTCACGGAATTCACTGATGTTTTTATTGTCGTGTCTGACACTTACATGTTTCAAACACACTAAGAGGTTTAGATTCTTTATTACTTAATATTATGAATTTCACAAAAACAGCAGCAGCAAATGCCAACAGAATTAACTTTCTTAAACAACTGAAGTCATCCACGTAATAGCATACTTCAAATAAGGAACTGTCTGACGTAAAACTGAAGAATGGATTTTGAAGAGTCAAAGCTAAAGGCCAGATTCAACATTCCCTAGATTCAAACTTAGGTTATATGATGCTCAACATGGTAGAAGAAAGAAAAATAATGTACTAAGAAGAGGCTGTATATATTGAAAAGCTTCTTAAAGAAACAGCACAGTGAAACATGAATAGGTCTAGCTACATCCAAAAGGGACTGCTGTACTCCATAAGAAAAATAACTATCACAGGGATTAGCATTTGTAAATATTATTACTAATCTGTCAAATTTACTTTGAAGAAATAGCTCTTCTGTTACTATGAACAAAAAACTGTCTTGAGCAAAACACCTGGCTGCAAAATATTTCAGGAAATTCAGACTCAAGATTTCGTATAAACATATGCACACATGTGAAAAGCCCACATGGTTATTTCAACATGCCATGTATTGAACTGAAGGGTCATATCCTAGCAGCTCTAAAGAGCAGCAAACCTTTGCCTCAAAACACTCAACACAAAGACTTTGCTTGCAATTTTACAGTTAGATTGTCATAGAATCATAGAATCATAGAATAGTTAGGGTTGGAAAGGACCTTAAGATCATCAAGTTCCAAGCCCCCTGCCATGGGCAGGGACACCTCGCTCTAAACCATATCACCCAAGGCCTCGTCCAACCTGGCCTTGAACACTGCCAGGGGTGGAGCATTCACAACCTCCCTGGGCAACCTATTCCAGTGCCTCACCACCCTAACAGGAAAGAATTTCCTCCTTATATCCAACCTAAACTTCCCCTGTTTAAGTTTTAACCCATTACCCCTTGCCCTATCACTACAGTCCCTAATGAAGAGTCCATCCCCAGCATCCCTATAGGCCCCCTTCAGATTCTGGAAGGCTGCTATGAGGTCTCCACGCAGCCTTCTCTTCTCCAGGCTGAAGAGCCCCAACTTTCTCAGCCTATCTTCATATGGGAGGTGCTCCAGTCCCCTGATCATCCTTGTGGCCCTCCTCTGGACTTGTTCCAACAGATCCATGTCCTTTTTATGTTGAGGACACCAGAACTGCACACAATACTCCAGGTGAGGTCTCACAAGAGCAGAGTAAAGGGGCAAGATCACCTCCTTCGACCTGCTGGTCACGCTCCTCTTGATGCAGCCCAGGATATGGTTGGCTTTCTGGGCTGCAAGTGCACACTGCTGGCTCATGTTCATTTTCTCATCAACCAGCACCCCCAAGTCCTTCTCTGCATGGCTGCTCTGAATCTCTTCTTTGACCAACCTGTAGCTGTGCCTGGGATTGCTCCGACCCAGGTGCAGGACCTTGCACTTGGCATGGTTAAACTTCATGACGCTGGCATCAGCCCACATCACAAGCATGTCATGATCATCTCCTGATCACCAAAAGAAGGACCTTTAATCCAACTTCTCCCCCTTCTGGGGAAAGGAAAAAAAAACAAACCAGAACAGAAAGAAACAGCTAATTATTTCTATATCTATTATTTCTTAGGCTTTTCCATTATTATTCCTACTTGGGTTTTACCACCTTATTTCAAATTTCCCTTGCTCTCCTTTACCAGAACCAATAAACACTGCAAGCTTTTAATGCTCCTTTCTGTTTTTCAAGGCAAACTCTGAGGCAGAAAGAGTGAGAGACATTTCTCAAGATTCTTTGGCCAAGATACCAAGTCTTGAAGCTGGAGATTGTGAGATCCAGCAAGACCACTCCACAGCCTAAGTACATGCTGGAAGTCTGCCGTACCAGCATCTGGTTTACCAGCTGTTTCTGCAAAAGGGAGTCAGTTTCAGTAAGAAAAATCCAACTTTCCAGAAACAGGAATTTCTCTGTTTCCATATGGTGGCATCTAAGTTCCTATACTCATCACTGCATGCACACATATGCTCATTTATTTTCTCTTAGAACTAATAAGCAACTTCATGCTTGAAAATATGATTGTTGAATTTTAAAAAGCCTTTATCACTGAACAGAATACGAGTTACCGTAAAAAGGACCAAAGTCAGTCCTGTAGTTATTGTAAAATGAGTTCTTACAAAGTATGGGTTATAAAAGCACAGTTTCAAAATCTTAACAGTAAATACTTGCTCCTTCAAGGTGTGCAGGTAGTTAGAGAGATCTTTTCTTTAGAGTAATGTGGAAATTTTGAAGTGTCTCACAACATCCTTTGGTAACCACTACCTGTCACCTGAAGAACTGCATTACAGAGGACTAACCCCTGGCCAGTTAGGTCACATTGGTAAAACCTGTCTGTCTTCTGACTTACGAATGCACAGAGAAGAACCTAGAGAAATAAGTCAGTGCATCCAGTTGTGAGGTCTGCTTTCAAAGGATTAGTAAACTGAATGACTTGAGAGCAGCAGCTGCACAGACCTCATTTTCCCCAGTGTTTTCCCCATGGCACATGTCATACTGTCCAGAGACATACAAAAAAGTTCTAGATAATGAGTCTCAGGTATCTGGGACAGCATAATCCTACTGTCCTTATCTCTCCATTTCTCAGCACAGTGTGGAAACTCCCCTTAGACAAGCTTGTTCTTTATCATCTGCCAGACTGGCAAGGAGAAGTTTTCTTGCTAGTATGTAGACAATATTAAGCAAGAGTTCTTGCAGTTCCTGTTGAGTGGGACAGTTATGTCTGGCTCACTTCCATGCATCAACATTTAATTCTAAGGATTTTTTCCAAGCAGGTAAGGCAGTGAGACAGATGCAGAAAACTCATACATCCCTCACTGCCCTTTTACTTTTTACCAAAAAGCTGGACATGAGTTGACATGGTCAGGGGGCAGGGGGAGGGGAGGGAAGCCAAAAGGGAAAACTAATAAATCACCTTACACTAGTAACTTTCAGTAGTATAAATATTCTCTGAACTGAGAAAACAATGGTTTGAAGGAAGACAGGAGCCACTGTAAAGGTAGCACTTCTTCCCACACCGCAGCTTGAAGTTAAAAGGTGAGATACATGAACATAAGTGCTTTTTTTTCATTCCCAAGGCTATTGTAACAACCTACATTCATCTCTTCCTCCATTACTAGAGCACTTCCAGGATTAAAGTCACACTCTGTTTGGCTAGTTATGCTTTCTGATAATTATCACTCAAAGACATATATGGGTACCAGAAAAGACATACAGTGCTGCTTCACTTTAGACAGCTAATCCCTGCTTTCCTTATGTGAGTGAGGATACACAGCTGGAGGTCAGGGTGATATTTAAAAATATGGAGCTGAGGAAAAAAAAAAAAACAATTAAATGCAAGAGGCTGAAGAAGCCTCACTTTTAAATTTCTTCTTTTTCCCCTTAAGACCAAACTGCATTTTCAACAGCAATCTACAAATCTGTAGTCATGTTTAGATCACCTCTCACTGGTACCACATTAAGACTTCAAAGTAAACATCGAGCAAAAAAACCTCCCGAAATGCTTTGTAGATTTCTAAGTGATTGAGAAATGACCAAAACATTACTGGAAAAATAAAAAAAAAAAGGAATGAGAAAGCTGTGGTACACGGAAGCTCAGATTATTCTCTTCCACTCTTGGAGAACAATTTTTCTATTAAGAAACAAAATTCCTAAGCTAAAATTCGGAATTCTTTGAAGCACACGACACAGTAATTAACCACAATGAGTCAAGTCAAATGCATCTGGACTATTCAAAAGGTTACTTTAAATACTATCAGCAGAATTATGCATGTGTCTTACTTCCTCAAGACTTACTCTTTGCTTTTACATCAACTGTAAAAGCACAATTGCCTATTAATAGACTTAACAAGGAACACTGAAATACGAACTGTTAGATCTTGT